CACAGGATATGTAATCATAAATGGAATTGATCTTCTTTGTTCGCCTGCCATCATGGTGCCACTTTTCCCCCCCACCTCCTCCACCTCTGAGAAGAAAGACAGTAAAAAAGTCATGTCAAGCACTAGTCATTGACATATCAGCATAACAATATAACCTGTCTTAACTTCATAGGAATAGGATATATATAAAATATGGACTAGCACCATTAATAGAGAAAAGAGTAATTTTAGAGCTACATTACTAAATTGGAATAAGAAAGAAAGCACCTGACATCAGCATATGCAATGACCCAACCACGATCGAGAAGGCTTTTTAACTCACTGCGCCATCGTTTGTCCAGTATCTCTCCATAAGCTCCATGTCCATGAAGTAATCCGGGATTCTCAGCTTGCTTTTTCCTCTTTGGAGAATAGACAACAGTCAAAGGAACAATAATACCATCATAAGACTTGACATTGTGAACTTCACAGGCATAGAACTCAGAAAGATCATTCCATGTAGAATGATTTTCAGGATTGACTTCGTTATTAGAGCCTACTTTCCTCGCACTCTGAATAAAACTAGCTGAAGATGATGTTCCGTACAATACTCTTGTTCTTTCATGAAGCAAGTTTTGCTGCTGTACTATGTTCCATTTTCCATTTGATAAGTCATAATCGACAACTGCATCAGGCATCTATAAACAGTGGTGACTTTTAGTTTAAGATTGCAATTTGGGGTGCAAAGTGACCTTGTACGATAATATATACGAAATAAACTACTAGAAAAGGTGACCAGTACCTACCAAAGGGGATGATATTGTGAATCGCATTGTTGAGGAGTAGAAGTCATAATTAGTTCCAGGCTTAATTTGACAGACATTCTTTGGAAGAGGTAAAAACTGTGGACTGAGCTCTTTGAGCTTAATCTCTTCCTGTCCATGGAATATTGGATAAGAGAAAGGGAAGGAGGAGTATAACAGTTGTAAGCAATTCAAGAGAAACACACACTGCTGGTCAAACACAATTATAAGAGCAAAAAAAGAGAAAACATGCAAAATATCCATTCAAGCAATAAATGCACACCACGTCACAAAACTTATGAGTAAGAAGCTATAATGTAAAATGTGTTTCGAACTTATTTCATGACTCAGTAGGTTGCCTAAGGGCTGGTTAAATAATTTTGGCACAGAGCAACTAAAGGGAACACAAATATCTAAAACAAATGTTGCACTTATAAATAGCAAATTTTTTCCGAAGGAGGAGTTCTAGAACCTGATCTACAAAGTCAGTGAGAGCCTATGGAACAACTCTTGGGAGTCCAGAAAACAAGAAAAAAGAAAGAAATCAATTGCATTTGAAAGGACAAAAGAGCCGAACCTAGACGAAATATAGCGTAAGTTGACATCAATAAAATGAGTACCATGTACAAAAGAAAAAGGATGGTATTGTCTCTATGGGCTGTTTACTTATTTGTAAGGGTACAGGGAGGATGGGTTGATCATCAAGGTTTTGCTTATTCAAGGTTTCTGCAGCAACTATACACTACAAAAGAATTAGTCTAAATTAAAATTTATAGAGCAGCGGAAATCTTACACAAGCAAAGTAAATAACTTCAGGTTGGAAAAACAGGAAAAGTTATCAGAAGTAAAAACCAGGACCAAAACAAGTTATTACCTTCGTACTTGGCAGAGGAAGAGAAATGGGACAAAGTCTAAAATTTCGTCCGTCCCGCACAATGAGAACCAAGTGCTTGTCACTGAAATCGACGTCTTCAATTATGAACTCCGAGTCATCACTGAATATATTCTGCATTCTTGATGAGAAAGCTATGAGCCAAAGGTTGCATCATGAATAAATATGCTTTTCAGATGAAAGGTTATTCAACTAGAAGAAGGTTAGATGGCAGTTGGCGTGGGAGAAGAGACATTTAGAAGAAACATGATAAGAGTCTCAATACAATACAAACTCACCTCCCACTTTCTTTTGTTCAGTGAGCAGTTAACTGGACTACGTAAAAGATAATGGTGATCAACTAATTGTCCATTTTTAGCCGCATCAGTAAATAGGTAAAGATACCCTTGGTGATGCTCGACAACACAGTGGGCTTGAGCCTCACATTCCCACACAGGTATCATACCAGACAAAGGATCAGCAGCATCTATCAGAAAGATCTAAAAACTAGTCATTGACATAAAATTAGACTAACATCAAGTGATAAAAATTAGAAAGCTTGATGAAGTATCACCTTTGATGATGTAGTCGAGAATATATGTACTGTTAGAAACTGGAAATCCTTAGTATGTCTTATGTTTACATAGCCATTCTCGCTAGGCTCTTCTATAAGCGACACATCATCTTGTTCAGACCCAATCATACTACAGTAGATTCTGAAAAAAGAATTGGAAACAACTGAGATATCTGGAGTACGTCAAAAAGAGTCTTTTAACCAAATAAGTAAATTACCAACCTATAAGGCCTCTTACAGTGATCAGTGACAACATAGAGTAATGCTTGTCCATCTTTCCCCCAAGCTATGTTTGAAACCCGATCTGCTTGGGGCTTACTACATAGTGAACCGAAATTTAAGTCTCGCACAGACAATTTAAAGCAATCGTTATCCTTATCATACATTGTGTAAGCTAGATATCGGTGATCAGGGGACACTTCTGATAATTCTTCATATGCATAACCTGTAATTTAACAAAGGAAAAAGGGTTATACAATATACACAACGAGTAAAAAGAACCATAAAATCAGCAACCACTACTACTGCACCAAACCTCAACTCCAAACTAAATAAGGTCGGCTATGTAAGTCCTCAACAAACATTCCACTCTGTTTGGAAAATCAGCATAAAATAAGGTAGCAAGAAAAAAGCAAAACCTCCAAATCTTTCAGCTTCTTCATTGTAGTCAAGAAGCTTCTGCTCAATTCTCTTCCCCGAAGTAAAATCAAAACCTGCTGAAGGAGATCTATTGGAAATGAAATCTTCATTTGCCCGTGCTAACCTTCTACACAGCACTGGATACTGCTTCCCTTCTTCCACTCGCCTATAGTACAACCTGCGGCGACCAATATCCACCTCCATAGAGTAAACACAATTTTCAAATTTCAGAATCCAAACAACGACAAAATATGCGGGGATCTATATCCAAATAAATATCTCAATAACATAAGAACAACAACTACTATGCTTCAATCCTAAACTATGAATTATGCTCGATTGTTGTAACAAGGAAGTTAAACGGAACAATACCAAGGACCCCAACGAAGGGGAGGTGTGGAGAGTTCATTTGACAAGCGAGAGCCCATTTCCGACTGAAGTTTGGACTGGAGGCGTTCGGTATCGGACATAACGGCTTCAATGTATTTCTCCTCCTGTTCCATGTACACATCCATATGGCGCATGGCTACTTTGTCATTGAGCTGTGACATCCAGCTGTAAGGGTCCTCCCATGACTCGCCGTGATGGGTGAAAGTCACCGGCTTTTTAGGAGGTTTTGGAGGAGATGGTGGTGCTGGCGGAGGTTGAGGCTTCTGCGGCTTGTAATTTGCACAGAAGATGGAATGGATACGCGGCGTTATACGGCGGTGATTCAGCTGATTGCGGCGGAGAGAGCTCAGGAGGTGGCGCATGGTGGTGGCGGAGAAATTGGGGTTCAGGGTTTAAGCACTATATCACCTTTTTATTAAATTGAATACAAAAGGACCAGAATGCCCTTCATTTAGTTTTTGATTAAAAATGCTCATGAAGTAGGGGAGTCTTCACCTTATTATTAAAAGATGGTGTAACTCGTCGTATTAATGAGTATATTATCTTTTTTTAAAAAATTAAATAATGTGTCTGATCGGAGATTTTTACGTTGTCTTTTTATGATTCTGATACTCCAATTCCATGATCACCAAGTAAATGCATAATATATAAAAAAAATATTTGTTGCCTTAAAACTAATGATATGCTAAACTTATTAAAATCTAGCAAGAAAAAATTTAAAATATGAAAAGTTCACTTTCACCAAACAACTAATGCTTCCTACAATACCCACAAAATATAATATCAAAGAAAAGACAAAAATGAAGTAAAATAAATACTCCTTAACTTAATCTAGATAAAAAAATTTAAATTATAACGAAGAAAATTTATCGATATTATATAAATTTCATATACAATGGATGAGCTAGTTATCTTCCTGACTGATGTTATAGTTTTCCACAATAAAAGACTATAAAGCCACACAATTGATCCAAACAACCATTGGCCTTTCCACTTCCTTTATGTAATTTGTGCCTCTTCATTCCTCCCATTATCAGTTTTTCTGTTGCGATGTAAATGGGACTACTCATTGATAGTATATTTTTAGTGTATTTGATGTTAGAATCAAAATAAATTTTCAAAACTTCTGATTTGAACTTCTAAAGTCACTAACAAATTTAATATTTTATAACTAATTAAAAATTTATAATATTTTGATTTAATATAGAAGCAAATAGAGGCTTTCCATTTATAATATAATAATACATGATGATATGATGATTTGTTTATTTTAGCGAGATGAACTTCACATTACGGAGTGAAAAGAAAAAAAAATTGGATTCAAATTTCAGTACAGACAAAAATAAAGGTTGATTTCTTTATACCCATCTATTTGTATAACATTTGAAGGATGAAGTTATTTGATATTTATATTGACGAAAGATAGCACATAATTGTGAAATAATTAAGGTGCAGTCAACTTCTTTTTGGATGAAATAGTTGACGTTTGATAAAATTTGGTTTATCAAATGGAGAGAGAACCTTGGTTTAGATTTTATCAATTATCTGACTATTTTCTATCTGGTGCAGACTTGTCTTTTAACATTTCTACGGTTGTTTGATTTGCATGAACATTTAGCATTTTCCATAGTATTTACCAATTATCGTTTATTAAGATTATAGTTTTCACAAATCCTACAGTACTGAACTTGAAAAGGCACATAAAAGAATACTTCACAGAATAAAGTTGTTGAAATCTCAGAGATTTAACATTCAAGAAAGAAGAAATTAGGTACTTTTAGTTTGTCCAGGACTGAAATCTGAAGCTCATAACAAACTTAAGTTTCAAAAAACAAATCAAACATGTCAAAGTAAATAAACATAGAAAAAGGCAAATCTTAGAGTGGTCTCATGATCTCATTCTCAACAGGATATATGTAAACATCTAAAATAACTGGCTTTGAGTCGTGCTTTCCTCCTTGAGCAAGCTCGAATACACATATATCAAACTCCTCCAGATCGTTATCCATGGCAAAATCATCCCAACCTGACTGAATCACTAGTCCTTCCATTCTGCAACGAATTGAGGCTGACCACGTTCTTCTACTTGAAGGGATTCTCAAAGTAATCGTCTCAGATATCTTCCTCATGTTCTTCTGTGCCCATTCCTTCGGGAGTTTCTTGTATTCAACAAACAAGATTAAACAAAATAAGCTCAAAAAACACAGGACTATCAGCTAAGGCTTTTGCTAGTATATCATATGGTTGTACTAATGTGAATATGCAGAGATAAATCAACAGTTGAGGCATGAACATTACATACTATTACTTCAGTTAATATTGTTATAAACAGAAAGGACCTAACTTGTACACACTTTCGATGCAAAGAATATATTTATGCTGTCCTGTATTGTATTATAATTTATTATATTGCCAGAGGCGGATTCAAGATTTGAATTTTATGGGTTCTTGACTTCTTGCAACCTCATTGCCATCAAACCCCTAATCCATTTATGCACATATATATCTAAGTTAAGGTTACTAGTTTGAACTTTAGAAAATACCAGTTGACCCATGTAGACATGGGTGGGCTGCATTGTCATCAGAAGAGAAGGCACAGAAGATGTGTGTCTTGAGGCCAGTTGATGAACTCTCATCTTCTCTTTCTCCGAAACCCGGCGTCTGTTTGAGTACATAGGCCTTTTTTCCTCTGAACTAACAATTTTCCCAAATCAGAATCCAACAATGTAGATAAACTTCAAAGAATTGAAAGAAGAGATAAGTAAAACTTAACCAGGTTCAACATTTTTCTTGCGAGATGACATAGGTGTACACTTCCTTCTCCTATTATCCTGCTTGGCTACCAAGATTTTCTTCATTTTCTTCCCTTTACTAGACTGAAGTGACTGGAACTGATACTGTTTTCCTCGCGATGATTTTCGCCCTCTGGTAGGCTCTTGTATGTTATCATCCTCATCCGTAACATCATCATCATTTGAAGGTTCATCTTCACTACTCTGTTGCTCAGTTGTATGTTCATCTGTTACTTCATCTGGATGTTTACAAGGGTTCCTATTTTTCTTGACAAAGAAAGTAGTCTCTTTTTCACAAGCACTTGCATCAAAAATCATGACATCAAAAGCTGAAAAACCATCCATTTTGAACACCAACATATCAGCAATTTCCAAGCTATGATCTTTGACAAATACTTCCCAGCCATTACAGAAAACATAATCCTTCTCTGTTCTAATAACTTCAACTAACCAAGTGTTGCCACTAGGACCTGTTAGAATCTTCTGTCCTAACAATTTGTGACTGTTCTTAAAACAAGTCACAAACTTTTGTGGAATGCGCTGCATTGAAGAATCCAAAATGTATCAGCTACAAATTCTTAAGTAAATCAAATCTGAGAGAACTTACCAATCTACGCCTGAAATCATTGATCATTATCTTGAAAAACTTGTGTTGTTTGTCAAACTCTTCCCAGTACTTTTGTTTCTCAAGCACTTTGCATCTTTCACAGATGGTAGCCATTCTCTTTCAACAGATCTTTTGAGCAAGAAAAATTGTTTTTGAAGGGTTAAAATTAATGGACCACTATTTAGGGAGTGTTTGTTGGTAGAATCTTTTTTACGTCTCATACTAATAAGCTACCATTTCTAGTTTATGTTGAAATCTCTTTACAGCTTTGCAGAGCTCAGTATTGCCTTAAGAGTACAAAGAGTCAAACATGGCTAGAATTAGAAACTGGCACTTCCATATGAAAGGAACTTCTTTTGTTCCTTATTCACCATTTCAGAATTTGCCATATACTACAAATGGAAATTCAGAATTTTCATCTCTGATTTTATCTTTTGGCTTGTGAGGAAGTATTAGATGGATTTGATCATAAAGAGGCTTTCACATTTTACTTTAATTTTAATGCCAATAGTACTGATCATTATAAAGAAGATTATGACGTGTTAAGCAATAACACTAGTTTTACTAGTCTTTTCTTGGCTATAACAATAGCTGAACAAATCCGGTTGCAGTAAGAATAGCAATTTTTTTAATTTCTTAAGTTGGAATTTTTTTTAAAATTTTTTGTGGCTCATAAAAATGAAAACCTTGCAATTTATGAAAATTTCTCAAAACTCTTATACTAACCAGCATGAAGTAAGCTAACTTGCAAAGTGTACACACATAAGACATTTAATTAGCAATCATTTCCCACTCTAATTTGATTAAACACTATATTATACAATTTGATCACCATCAGTCCATCACCGAGGGCTACATACACTACAGTATCTTACAAAAAATTGCCAAAGCAGAAGCTATATCTTTCTTGTTCTTTAATTGTACAAAAGAACCTACCAGATTAGCCATTTACAAGCCTATTCTGTAAAAATAACTGATTCTACTCGTTCATTGGCAAACGTCTTTTCAGTCATCTGGTCGTCAACTCTGCTCTGTTCTCTTCTTTTACCAAAACATATCAATATCTACAAGTAACACATCTTATGGACATAACTTTTCTTTCAAAAAAGAATTCTTTTGAAGCTCTCATGTGTTCAAGGTGAGAAGGAACTTGCATCAGTGCTGTAAAATGAGTACTCACTCAAACTGAAGTTTAACCGCTCTTCGTCCCACTTGATTATCTCCCTTGCATACTTGAGCGATTCATCCACCGTTTTTGGCTCTAAACCTTTCACTAGAGAAACATACAGCTTCTTGTTAGTGAGAGAAGAAAAGAGCCTCTTGAATTTTACTGCAACGTGATGAAATGCCAACTGGCCCACAGAGGGACTATGGTTGATGCTGCTGGAGTTGCTGTTGGAGCGATGGCGACTTACAAGCGGATGAAAATCGTCAAACCATTCACATTTGGTCAAAGGAACACGCTCTAACTTCTCCTCAAACGAATCAAACTTATTTAGTAAGACAAGAAAGTCCATCTGATCGAAGGTTGGATGAGTCGCGATGCTCTCGAAAAGTTTCTTGGTTAACAACATTTTGTTCACTTTCTCCCCAGTTTCATCAACAACATATTCATCATAATCACTCAAGGCAACACAGAAAATAACCACACGAACGTCTTCAAACATCTCAATCCACTTGCAATTTTCAATGAACCCCCTTGCCTGTACTCTTATCAGCTGAAATCTGAGTACCAGAAAAATAAATTTGTTTTATCAATGTCTCTACATAGTCTGTAAGAGATGGGTTATAACAACTTTATTTCACCCTATTTTCATTTATGAGGATCCTAAAATCAACTATCTGCATAGAAGGGTTCTCCAACACAGACACACCAGTGAGAATCCCAACCCAATGGTTCACTTTCAGTTCTCATATCAAATTCTTCTAATGGACCCAACATTGTTGCACCAGCTATGAGATGGATCCCCCCCCCCCCTTCCCTTTTTTACAAGGTAAAAGTACCATGAGATGGGTCTCTTTGCCAGTGTTACTAAAATGAAACGTGTTTACTATGTTGCACTCCATTCTTGGCTATGTTGCTTGGAACCTTTAAAAATGACTGGCCAGGAACGTGTCGGAAACTCCAAAGATTATGTTTCTTTGGAGGATCCGAGCAACATAGATTCTAGGTCATTCCACACTAGTGAGAGAGTAGTAAGTCAATGAGGCACAACTCAAAAGTGATTCCCCATCAACGGCAGTGCAAGAGTGATAAACACTTGTCAAAATTATTCCATTTCTGTCAAAAAAGTAAAGTATGGGTAATTAGCGTTTACAAACCTGAGCACAGAATTGGGGTGATCACTGCTGTCAAGATTATCATAATCTTCTGAATCTGGGAATGAGAAGTCAACACACGAAAGTCCATTGGAAGAAGTAACACCCTCAGCATATAAGATATCCACGTCTGAAGGTTCATAGTCTGTTTTTAAAATATCAACTGCCTGAAATAGGAAAACAATAGATGCAGAGATATTTAGCAACAAAATGAAAGATCCTTCCCATCATCTGTAGGAATCAACAAGGAACTCGCAGTTACATAACCCAACCAAATGCTACAATGTCATCACTAGGTCTATTCAAAACTTGGAACAAACAAACAATTAATTCAGTGACAACACTAAAGTACCATAAAAGATAGTAAGAAGCTATACCGCCAGAAAACTTCAAAAAAATACTAATTTCAGTTGTTAGCACGGAACCTTAGGTCTACACAACTTGGGCGTATTTTTTATTAATCCAAAACAAAGAAGCTTCGCTTTTTTATCAGGCATACATCTCTCGCGACAGAAATAAATTCGCTCGCCAGACCCTTATAGTTTGGACAGCATAGGTGGAGCACAAATGTGAAATGAAGGAGTTGAAATAGCTGTAGACTTTGACCCAACAAAAGAAGAATCTAAGACAACCCGCACATTCTTCAATTATGCATAAATGTGACATCATCAAACTGTGCAAGTTGACGCACGAAATTATCTTACCCGCTCTAGGAAATAACAAGACATGTCATGAAGCATTTCCAGTTCACTTCTTCGCTTATAAGTTGCCTGGATGGCTGCATCATTCCACAACTCCTCAATTAAAGGAGCATATTCCCGTGTTGCAGCTGGGAAAACAGCTTCTAGATTACCCGTGGCCATTATTTTGAGAAGCCAATCTGAGAATGCTTTCAGTCTAGGAGGTATGGAATATAATGTTTTCTTTTCAATCCCAGTCTTATCACCTGATATCATAAGCTACAATTGTTACTTAAAAGGTATATTGAACAAGAATCCAGGTTCACCAAGTAGGCTGAGGGGAAATAGACATGACGGCATGCACGTGGTTATTTTTATGGGATGAATTAAACTGAGGAGCCCAATGTTTGTAACACCACATGACTATGTTTATGGAACCAATTAAAATGAGGAGTCCAGAGTTTGTAATACCTGTCATTCCAGAGTCACTAGACGAAGAACCCTCTTGCAATTCATGCAAACTCTCTTCCTCAAAGCGCTCGCGGCCCTCAAGCAGAACTCCGATGTATCCATATACATTACTTTGGATCAACAGTTTGATGTGTTCTCTCTCTTCATCCGAGAAAGGAACATCCTTGTAAAGAATTTTTGCCTAATTTACCAATTAACGATATTAGAAGTCAAACTGAACAAAGATAATCTGATAGGGGAAAAATCAAGGTGCATTATAAGGCTAAATGGGATCTAGCAACTTAAATTGCTAAGAAAAACAAGCAAGCAAGAAAAGAAGGGGAATCAATTCTTAGAGCTGCCCAAATAGAACTATTTCCTAATACAAAACCTGCCTTGTAAAGGAACAAAAAACAAGTAAAGATACTGCTGCCATTAACACTTAAATCAGCAACATATGTGAAGCAGATATGAGCCTCAATCAGAAAGCCAAAGACTGAATTAAAATATAACTAGATGGAGCAAACAACCCACAAAACAATTAGGCATCACTTTAGAAATTTGAGGTACCATAACAAACAGTCACTGACTTAGAGACACAAAATTTAACCAGTTCTTCATCTCTGTGGCTCAACATCTTTGTTATATAATTTTTCAATATCTTTTAACATCCTATTACCTCATTTCTTCCAATCTATCCAGTAAATATTTTTTAAGGTCATAATAAAAGCAAGTCAGGTGCTACTGAAGTGATTCTTCTTATCAGTCAGGTCAACAGTATAAATAAAGTATCATGAGTATTTACAAATAGAAAACTCTATGTAAAACAACATTACAATGGACCACACAAATATCTAAGTTATACTTGAGAAAAGACCAATAGCATCTAATAGCTCGGACAGAATACAAATGCAACAATTTATAATAATAAGTTGAAAACAGTTTTCTCAAAGAAGTAGGAATAGATAAGCAACTATGCGATGAGGAAATTACTGCATGTCCACTATACTTGGAACAAGAGTGCCAAAAAAACAGAAGTTAAGGAAATCTTCCGCTTTACTACCAAACTAAAGAAGGATGAATATATCTATCACTTCCTCAGAGCATAGTGGAGGAGTAACTAATGCTTTTTGTAAGAGCAGATATTCCCTGATCTTAACTTAAATCAGGTAAATATAGGATGTTGTGAAACAGGACAATTGAAAGCAACAAGCTGGTCATCAGAGTGTTATACGTGTGGAGAGAGAGCATATAAATTATATTTAGTTAAAAAACAGCAAAAGAGCAAGGGCTGAAGGAGTCAGTTCTAAACAGAGAAAATCATCTTGGTTATACCTCATGTGTTTTTTGCCCAAACATTAAATATAATTTTATTACTTTATCAACAAACAAAAATACAGTAGAAAGTCACCTGCTTATATATGGTGCTAGTACCAGATCCACTATATCCAATCAAAAGTAGCTTGTTAAGTGCCCTCTGTTCTAGATAATCAGGTACCACTTGACTAAGCACACTATTAACTTGCTCTCCACAAGTATTAGATGATTTTGAAGGAACTGGAAGAGAGAGTACAGCACAAACCAGCTTCATTCCAGCCTGAAAAGATAAATACTTTCACTGAGCACCAGAAATGGTTGTATGTTTGAGTATGTGAAGTCAATAAGTCGAGAAGGAACTCAATCATGGAACATAAATAAGGACAATTTCCATTTCCATATGCCAATTGAAGGTAAACAAGAGCAAACCAGGATAAATTTAATCCTTATTCCGAGCAATGATTCCCAAAAAGCAAAACCTCACTAAACCAAAGTCCATTTTATTGCAGACTACACTAATTAGAAGCAAAGGAAAAATTTGAAATAAGGATAACAAATTCAAACCGAGCATACAAATCTAAC